AATTTCTGTTACGAAGCCCGGCACTAAAACGTGCACCAAGAGAAGTGCCAAATCATACTGAAAATTCGTCACAATCTCTCAAATGAACTTTTTACGTTGTTGATTATCTGTACAAATAACAGCCAGCAACACTTTTCACACGAAATTTATGCTAGATGGTACGTCACAGCAGTGCACTTGTGTTTACCTGGTTCATTGGCGAAAAAAGAAGCTTGAAACATTTTTGCTTTGGTCAGCGCACATAATTGGGTTTGCCAAAGTAAAGTGGCGTTTCTCAACACAAGTTAACGTGAATAGAGGCTGATTCAAAGTGCGAAAATTAGTTAATAGTATTCAATGAAAATAGAGAATCCACACAATTCCAAGTAATATAAAATGAAAGGCTCGTTTGAGGATGGACCGAGTTTCTACCCCGTACTAGTTTGGTATCCCAATCACCTATGAATGCTAGGAAACAGGCTTTTGTTTTTCCCGTGATTACACTTGGTAGCTCAATTGGGATGTGACACCCAAAAAAAAACAGAAAGACTTTGGCGATGCTCGATAGATGTTTCATACGAAAGAGAAGCACCGTATTCAAGTTAGTCAGACATGGACAACTTACTTTGAATATAACGGCTCAATAAGATAATGCAGAAGGTTGCACATCGACTTGCACAGCTGATTGTGCCCTGTGCTCCAGTAACCTTGAAAGCGATCTAAAATGGCCTGTGCATTGACCCAGTCGCCCAAGTCGAGCATAGCGCTGCATATTTCCAGTTTTTGATTGTTTTCATACTACAATCGGAAGCGCAAATAAGTGGACATTTCATTTGTGGATATGAAAGAAATAATCCGGTTCATCAATGCAGATATCGATAAATCAGCACTAAATTTGAAACATCAAGTCATTTATGCGGTTCAGGAGTAAGCTTAGAGTGCGACAGACAAGATGGAACTGGCCACCCGAGGCTTTCAACTAGAGTGAAGTTTACTGGTCAGTAGGGCCAAGAGGTTTCGAGAGGTTTTGGAGAAGTATAAATTCGTTCGATGTCAATATGAATTTTTCGCAAACATGACATTGCTGTTGGAGTACGGAAGATGTGTGGGACGGTGTTTTCGGGTTGGAAGGCCTGTCACACAATGTCTGTTCATACTGCTACATTATTTACACCTAATCAAAATGCGTGAACTACAGGAGCATCCCAATGATGCAAGGTAGTAAGCTTCCAAACACACTTCCCCGATCTACGTGGCCACAAAGAAAATCGTCACTTTCGAGAAAGCATTCTGCGGATAATAATCGTATGAGAGCTTAGTAACAGAGGGAATAGCAAGCTTAGAAGAACAGACGGACATACCAAAGCATCCGCCGTTGGATCCAGTTCCTTTTCATCACAGGTGTCACTGAGAGCTGTGGAACCAAGATTGCCCAAAGGGCCGTCCTCGGATAATCCACGTTCTTCTTCCATTAGAGAGCCATTTGAAGGCCAACCGTTTGCCATGGTATCACGTACACCCTGTTCTTGACTTTGGTACATCGCGCTTTGCAGAATGCTTCCGGTCGCAAGTTCACTGCGTGATATCTCACTAGGGAGCATGTTGTTTAGTGAAACATTGATTCCAGCCGAATTAGCGAGAGTTAAATTAGCCGGAGCTCTGGCACGGTATGTTTTTGCGGATGAAAGAAGTCGAGATCGAGTAGATTGAATGTTGGAGTCCGGTGGACAGAGCTTTAGAAAAAAACGAGGAAAAACATGGCTAGCGGATGTAGAGCATGAAGAACGAGATAAAGGAAACAGGAAAGCGCTGTCAAACAGAAGCCCTTTCTATAAAATATTCTAGGAGAACAAAGGTGGAAACCACCGTTGGTCTTCCCGTAGAACCGTTGCAACCAAGTTGTCTTGACTAAGCCACCACAAAGTGATTATCCTTGCAAAACGGCTTACCACTACGAAAGTTAAGGATATGAACAAGTGTTCTATAGACCAAATGTTTTGCATCCAGATTTTGCCATCGTCAGGTTGAAAAAAGTAAACATAATTTTTTGGGGTTGGAAAAATTGCATGGTTGTATGTCCCCAATGACCGATCGGTAAAGCAATTGGGTAGTGCAACATTAGCTAGCCTATGGGACCAGTCGAAAAATGGTGAAAAAACGGGCAAACATTCTTTGCACCACAGAACGGGAAAAAGAGTGTGGCAGATTGTCGAGACATCGCCCCGGGGACGCATCAATAAAGACTGCCAATGTTTCACATCTGTGGCATCTGACTGGGAACCATGTGCAAAAATTAGGTCCAAACGTTCTCGAAATTGGACCAGCTGGAGAACACACACGTACACACATTGTGGGAACCTCTGAATGAACTGAGGTTCACAACAGCGGGTGCAAACCGTCAGCAGAAATATACATCCGGTAGGAATTGCATTTACTCTCCGTTGTGGTATCATTACTCTCAAAGTGAACGTTGAAGGCGAAAATCGGTGGCAGCCCCCATTTTTCTTAGAAATGGATTCCCATAGAATAAGAAATCCGACAACAAACAGCAAGCGCTACCTAGGTGAAACGGTCGAATTGGAGGTTGTACGATGTTGAAACAGTTTGATATCACTAACATAACAATAAAATATACCTGAGGAACATGGTAAGAATGCCCCATTGGTCAAATGCATAAAACATCGCACTTGAGAGAAGCCTGAGTAGTCCACTACACAGGACAATTGGTAGCAGAAATTCACGATTACTAAGGGGACGCAGTATACGAAATTGGCAAATAATGACTAGCCTACAAATAAGTAACAAAGAGTAACGAATTGAAGAATGTTGAGTCGTTTCCGCTTGATAAACTGGAATCATGGCGTTCCTGCTCCAGTTTATGCGCAAACGATGTATCGCTTTACTATAGGCAGAATAACCGTTTTGGACTGATAACTATCCCAAGAAACATGCATGACTAGAAAGGTCGTATAGGAATAACTAGAGCTTATGTTTGTAATCGCAGCAGTGGAGTAAGCCAAAATGAATCCTGTTGATGTTTCAATGCTTACGTCATGTCCAGAGGCATCAGAGTTGAAAAAACAAGCGAGGACGAGTAGATATCTATGAGCTTCACAGCGCAATGGGGAGAAGAAACCAAGTGAATATCGCATGGAGGGAAAGATAACAAGCTCAAATATGAGCATCTGTCGAGAGTCGGATCTATTCAGCGCCATAACTGACCAGCTAACTCAGCAAGCGGAGAAATGATGGACAACACTGAAAGTAATGACCCACGAAATCCTGAACTCAGCCAGAATTACCACCATCACCAACATCACACAGCAACACCACTGGGACCTAGCTGAAAGCCAAGGCGTAGAAGCAGCGAACAGCAATTTAGGACAGCACCACATTAGAGTGTGGCAACACATTGCAAGCTTCAGAACATTAATGCAGCAGCTTCTGAACAAATGGTGCTGAATCAAGTTTAGCATTTATCCCTAATTCTGTGAAACACAAGAATCCAGTCATTGAGAGGGAGATCACATAACGAACAAAAGATCGAGTGTCATTGTCAGCTAGTAACATGAAGTCACCTTTGTGAAGCACACTCAATTGAGGGATACCATAGACGAGAGATTCACTTGAGATTTTAATTAACGCCAACATAATTTACAAATGGTTGTAGTTGACCAACGAATGATCTTTTGTAGTTTAGCATTTATCCCTAATTCTGTGAAACACAAGAATCCAGTCATTGAGAGGGAGATCACATAACGAACAAAAGATCGAGTGTCATTGTCAGCTAGTAACATGAAGTCACCTTTGTGAAGCACACTCAATTGAGGGATACCATAGACGAGAGATTCACTTGAGATTTTAATTAACGCCAACATAATTTACAAATGGTTGTAGTTCACCAACGAATATGGGATCTTTTGTGTCTTATTCACGTGGTGTCCTACCTTTGAGCTCAAACTCCCGATTCGCGCGACCGATTTGCGAGCTTAGTATAATTGACGTCGTGCGTTGAAATCACATCCCGCTTAGATTAACAAACCCCTAGTTAATCACAACCTCACCGGACCACTGACGCATAAAAATTGGATTTATTACTCAATCAATACTAACGCAATCGCGTTAGACCCTTCCTTTAGCGACCCATAACGTTAGCAGACTGTGCTATTCCTTTACTCTTTTGTATCAGAAGTTCAGTTGGCATGCTATTGCCTCTCTGTTCAACTTCCAACTATCTCGGAGCCTCAAGACTATCGCATCTACTTGGAACCAGTGGAATAACCTAGCTTACAGTAAGTTACATAGAAAAGATCAAAACCACTCAACCTTCGGGGGCGAGATGGCCCAAGTGGTTAGAGCGCGAATTTACTGCCGGTAGGTCCATGGTTCGAATCCGACCTCCGCCACTCGACTTCCCCTGTCTAGGCTTGGGCAACCTGACAGTATCCTAGCCCTCGTGCTTCCTTCGGGTGGCATGGCAGCTAGGCACCGGAAGGGTACTACAGCTGAACGCTTTCTTTCTTTCTTACTCAACCTTCGGAGAAATAACCGATGATTTGGTACCAGAAGGCTGAGTGGTGATTTACCTTGGGAAAAAGCACCCATGAGATCAGCGAAAATTGTCCGTCCCTGAATATATTAGGTTAGAGTTTACTAAAAATCGTCTTGGAACAGGGTGTCAGAAGTTAACGGAACCGATGCTGTGTAAGCAAAACCAGAAAAATATCAATCTTTAAAATCTTGGTACAAAGTTCCGTGACGCATTCACCATGATGCAGACGGTTGGGCCGCCTGAGGGATTGGTAAACGGGATCTAAGGTATACAGGTAAAATTTCCATTGGCCGGATATTAGACGGGCATAGCGGACCAGTTACAAAACCTAGTGAAAATTGCCAGTGATGCTTGCACACAAAAGCCCATCTTATTGGCGGACATCCACGAAATCCAAAGAGCCAATCAATAAGCAGTGAGTGAAACAAGGGGATCAGAGACTGAAAGTTATATTGGAATGGTGAGGCAGGCAAAGGTGAAGCATCGACCTTTCATTCGAATTTGCCTGTTTTAATGTGACGTTGACACGTGTAGTAAACACGACATCCGGAACGACAGACAGAGAGGACGAAAAGAGAAAGGTGGATTATTGAATGGATCCCCCATTGCGGTTGGAATATATTGCTTTGTGTCTTATCCCGCTGGGGACGATTTGGGGGAATATTTGTGTGTGTTTGGCGGTTTATCTGGAACGACGATTAAGACATCGGTTTAACCTGTTCCTCGTTTCACTGGCAATTAGTGATCTGCTGTGCGCAATATTGGTCATGCCTGTCTCAGCATGGCACATGATAGCAAGTGAGTTTACACGACCGATTATAGTTTGGGTACAACTAACCATTTGGCATCAGATAAATAAGAACTTGCATCAGGATTTTCCAAGAAAACTATAAATATTGCACAAACTAAAATATGATGCGGCTTTTGTACAGCACATTCAGTTGGAGGATACCACAAACCAGAGATATAGCAGAGTTTCCCATGAAAACCAAATTGATATGCAAAAGAGAATTTTGTCAAAACCTGTCCAATTTAGCGTTAACTGGTTGCGGAAATTCAAGGGGAGATACGACCAGATCTCAGTCAAACGAGCTAGGTGTAACCGAGATAGGATTTTACCTGGCGGAACGTTCTCACCATAATAGTATCTGTCTCCCGCATAACATGTGAAACGATTCTGATAGCCCCTCCGTGCGCGTTACAAGTACCCAGCTTACCACCAAACATCGCATACTAGAGGCGGAATGAATAACTAGCAATCAAGCCAATTCGCAACAGAACTTAATGTAAAATCAGCAATCCAAAATACATGTGGGCCGTACGCCACAATCTACGCTGAAGAATACCTAATAGAGTAAAAACAATAAAGCAGCGAAACGGAATTAAGAACAAAATATAAGTGGAAGACTGTGAACAAACAACACAACTACTAAGATTAAAGTTTGTTAGGTTTTATCATTGTCCTCTGGAATGGCTTAAAAAGTACAACAACTGTTATGTCAAATGAATCACCTCTCGAAGGCTGGGACGGTGGCTACATGGAACTCCAATAAAACTCTCATTCATGATGACTTTCAACCAAACTTGCATCACCAAATTTGTCTCTACATTCAGTTGAGTCTATATTTAAGACATCGAAGGAAAATTTCCTCTGTGAGTAGCATGGTAGCAGTGATAGAAATCCACCGAAAACCCATTAACTAGTTTCGTCAAACAGAGATCACAGGCACCCGAAAACTTATTCAATAACATTTTTAACGGAGAGCAACTAGTACACAGTTCGAGCAGCACCGACCGTCTGCAAACTGTGACCATGTTTACACGGTCGTCGAGTCCCTCGTTTACCGTGCTGCTTAAGAGAATGTACGGTGTCAAAACACGGGAGGCTCCCAAAGTGCACTCCAGAATGATGGAGGAATGACTTAGGAAAGCAACACCAACAGATAAGCACAGAGCCGTAGAGTGTAACCAGGATGGTGCCGGCTCTAAGCTAAAAAACACCTAGCTTTTACGAAGCCGTAACTACACACATCAGAAAAATGGTATCTGCTCACACGTTTCCTATCTAGGGCGAACTACCCTAACATGTTGAAAACTCAGCGTTCAACTAATGACTGGATAGCCGGCGATAAATAGACGCGCTTATTATGATAAGATTTCAACGAAAGAACTTAGCACAGTCGGCTGTACGGAAGCGCTGTCTTATTCCAATGAAAAAAGTCTGGAGGGCAGTGAAACAGCGCTTAGCTGGAAGACCACACTTACTCTCTATCTAGTTGATTACACTCCCGATGGAACGCACAAAACACCAAGATGCTGCTTCACACGGTTGTTAATAGGGGTTCGATACACGTAGGACTGTAAAGCGTGGCATGAATTCTTCAGCACCTAAGACCTGGACTGTGACCAAAGGAATCCTGTAGTGAGCAATCCCAACCTTCAATTACTGGGTAATAATTTTCCAAAAGCAATGTACATCCAGTTCAAAGTATTTAAGTCAACTATGGAGAGGTTAAATAAATCGGAAAGAACCTCATTGATTATTGTTAGGGCGGAAAATACATCAAACGACGGTAAGAAAGTAGTTAGTTGGGCGCGTGTAGTTAAAGCACACTCGAAATTATATGCAGCAGTCCAAACTCGACAGACAACTAAGATATCCAGAAATAGTTAACACAGATTACTACATGACGAGTGACTGTAAACAAAATCAACCGTTACCAACAGTGGACGGATATAAGGAGAAAATTCCAAACCACTGCACAGCATAAGGGGATACAAGAATTTCAGATTTCAGGTAACAAAAATGTGTATACCGTGGCTAACCATTATATCGGAAGTTGTAAACTGCTTCGGAAGGACCGCATAGTCCCGTAGAGAAAAGAGAATGAACCGATTAACACAGTGAGAAACATGCACTACGAAAATGCAACAAAGAGACCACATAGGTGATGGAATCGCATCAGCACGAGGAAAACCGAATCTACTGAATCGAAGCGGTCTGCTGCTGCTGCCAGTACATTCAACTTTTACCCAAGTTGATTGACATTTGAATGGAAGCGTAATACTGAAAAGTCAGAACACCGAGACAGGCAAGACTGGAGCACAGGAGTGTGATTACGACCGCAAGAATAGCAGATCAGTTTCGACCAAGGGAAGAACGGATCGCGCACAGATCAATAAGCCTGGGATGGCCATTAAATCTCAGTCAGCAGTTATCCTAGTTCACAAATGATGGGGTATGAAAATGATAGATTTGACAGTCAAGCCGGATTCCTCTGAAAAAAGTGGACCAGCCGTCTGGTGTGGAATGGGGATTAACCAAGACACACCAGACAGACACTGGGGATTCAAAATGAGAGCAAAAAAACTTAAACAGAATGATTCAAAAGGAGATGGTTATCCGATGGCTATCCAATCTGACTGGATGTAAGATGGATGTAAGATGTAACATGAAAAAGGGTTGTGCATTAAGGAGTTAGAACTACGGTGTAGTTCACACACACTCGAAATTCCGTAGCTTTCGCCGTTTTGCTAACACAAGAGGAAATTTTGAATTTTTCACTATGGAGTCCTTTTTCGGGCATAAAAACCCTGCAAAGTGAATCTGAAGATGACAGTCAAAAATTCACTGCGCAAGTTTCCGCAGCGCAGTAACGCCTAAGGAACATCCCTACGAGGCCAACTACATGTCCAACCCATAGTGGCATTTTATACAACCAATAACTAATGAATTACATGAAAACTAAATAAGTTGGAAATACGATACACATACTGAAAAGTTTCTAGAGACCTGTTACCAACCATAGAAGAGTCATTCAATCAGGGGGCTGAGGAAGAATTCTGAACTTGACAACGTGTCTACCAATGTGTTATAATAGTGTTAGCTTGGGTGAATTCATCAGTCGTTGGCCCGGGGGCTGTTGACCTGATCACCGAGCCAGGCAAAATGACTTTTAGATGTTTTGCTATTATTCCAGGAGGCATAATCAGCGCGACCACTGGACAGCGCATTGACGAAATCTTCACGAAGGTGACAAGACGTCTGCAAGTCAATTGCCAAGTTCAGATAACAAATCAACAGCTTCGTGATCAACTAACAGACAGCGTTCAGACCTAAAATGAGTGTGGGTTACACGGTTCAAATCCAGCCCAAAGCAGAAGGCTACTCAGGTGTAGTGGAAAGCATAGTAAGTGGAACAAAGCAAGCATAAAGTGGACTGTCTGCGCCTCAGCAAATCTTGGAGACAAAGCAGGATCACAAAAACAATGGTTGGTAGTGGAAACAAATCACTGGATCCAAAAGCAGGGTAAAACTGGAGATTTGCAGTAAGAATGGGAAGTTCGGCAAAGGACAACAGAATTGTGAGGGTTTTGTAATTGTCCTGTAGGTGATCGCAGCTAATTCAAGTGTTCATGAACCAGGACACCGGGAAGCAAAACTTACACAGTTATGTAGTGGGGCGTTACCATGTTAATGCCCTACTAGGAAGCCTCCATTTAAGAAGCATTCCGAAGTTACTTAATTGCTTTTGGTCCCTCACTGGTTTACGTTGTGAATACAGCCATGCCTCGTTGTGGAAGAACCTCTGCCAAATAAACACTTCTGTGAGTCTATTTTTTGGCAGCAGGACTTCCTTGTGCTGTTAAAATCCTCCACTAATGGAGCAGAAAACATTTCACCACGAAGTACTAGTTCGACACAGAAAAAAGCTACCTTAAAAACATGAAAGTGACACTTCCACCTCATTTCACGCGCTATATAAAGCAAAACGAACATCCATAATAGACGGCAAACAAGTAGTCCATAGTTTGTAGACGAAGGTTGAGCTGTTTATCCTCTTCGAAAGGTCGAAAAAATGTGCACCTTAGCAAAGCAAGAAGAATCCAAATAAATACGCTGTTAGGCACTGTCAAGTTTGGTGTGGAGATGAGGAGGAAGACACAAGGAAGCAATCGAATGAGGACTCGATTGTCGAAAGTAGGTTCGTGCAAACTTTTCTCCGGAACTAAGGGAACAGATCTATCGACCGCTTGTCCAAATTGAAGTATCCACGTGAAATCTTCAATTTCATGGTATTTTTTCTCAAAACACCAACAAAGTAAATTTAGTTAATGGTCGTTTCGATCGTAGAACTATACGGCGGTTAGAGCAAAAGGTATCCCCATGGCCTTTGTGATTCCAACATTGTTTTGGGTTATAAGCTTAAAGTAAGCAACAGTATGACGTAATGAACAATATGAGTGCAACCAAAAGGTGTGTAGTAAGGTATCGAAAATCCGGAACTTGACAAACAAAGTGACATTGGTCTAATACTGAGTATCAGTTGTACGGTCAAAAACCAGCACAGACGGATTACTGGAATGGACCGAAGAGCTCAAAGTTCTTCGGGCAAAGTAAACAGGGCTGTGACCATCAAACTTGTGTCTGGAGTGTTCGCAAATACTGCTTTATTATCGTTCACAATGGAGATAAACTAAGTTAGCAAAAACTGTGATCGGAGGTAAAAGAAATTTACTGGATAAATTAAAGTATAGTGTCGCAAGAACACTGCGGATACGGAACATATGGACGTTACTATTCTGACTAAAGTGAGCACTAACAACGGGAAGCATGGGCTCACATAAAAAAGTAGCTGGGATATTTGTAGACGCATTCGAAAACTGTTTAACTTGTGCTAGCGGCATAGTTGACATACGGACAGTTTAGAAACAGAAAATAATTAGGAGGTAAGATGATCTGGTGATCTATTTCCAGCGCAACGTATAGACCTGAAACCAAGAAAACAGGTTAGCCGGCTTTTAGATGCATCTAGATTGCAGACTGTATGCCCCGATCAACTGGTTCCTAGCCTATTTCGCTGTCCACATCTAAGACAAACCCAACTACGGAGAGGAAAAAATGGGCAAACAGTGATACGGATATAAACAGTTGCCTTACTAACTGACTTCCTATAGTATGGAACAATAAAACAGTCAAATCGTCAGGGGTGTAACTGTAACGCAACCCAAGGAAGCACGGGAGCTCAGACATTAGAAGGCAGTCCAAACCTTGAGATTGGAATAAAGGCGTCCCAGTAACTCATTCCCGTCTGAACCACTGAGCTGTCTGGAGCCCAATTGACAGTAGTTCCGAGTTTCAATGTACTACTTCACCCGGATACCGGATGTTAAATTAACAATGATTGGTGAGTAATGTATGCAATCTGCCGTATGAAGCAGAATTATGTAGTATTCACAGGTGTGCTGTGCTTGCCTATGGGAACCTATTCATGTATGTGGAGTAGTGGTCTTGATATGAGAACATGGGATCCAGCACCAGCACCACTGGACATGGATACCAGGGTGACAAGTGGTTCGGTTTAGGTCAAAGAACCAACGTAAAAGACTCAAGCTAACCACGAACTGGGTGAGGATACATGGCTTTTACGGGAATTCACACATACAGGCTTCTTTGAAAGTTCTTCATAGTTGAATTTAGAGGATTAATTAACCAGACTTTGAGACGAAACTTGCGTCTATAAAAGGTGTGTACAATCCAGGTGAAACACCGCAGTCCTCAGTGTTTTCCTCGATGCTGTTTCCATTTCATCTGTCTAATAGTTGGAGACTTGTGGAGACAAATGAAATGTTAACAAACCACTGTCTTTGTCTTCGGACTGTCCCCTCCAAATTAAAGGACTGCAGTCAGACGTAGAATGCGCTACGTGCACACACGTGCTTGACAACGGTTGCCAGTGTTTTGGTAAGGAAAATCTGGTCACCAAACATCGTTTGGAACAGGAGTGAGACTTGAACGAAATTTTACCGTATAAACAACAGTAGTTGACCCACATTTCACATTGAATTGGCTATCTCCCTAGGAAAACTAATCAATGGTTTACAAAACAGTCAGCTTCGAATTGAATAAGATGAGCGAAAACTGATGAAAATGTTAAATGAGTGGTTTGTTGGACGAAGTATGTAAAGTGGCATGACAGTACTATTTAACTGCTCGTTTTCTTAAGGGATGGAAAACAAGGCAATCGAGTGGTATTTCTCGGGAAACGAAAAGTGCACCAGCTTTCTTCCGGTTACCATCTACCACATCCAGAAGAGAATCACGAGCTACATCAGTACCCTTAATTCCAACGCCCCTGTCGACGCAAACCGCTAACGACAAGGTAAAAACTTGCAACTGTAAGAGGAAATGGTACTGGCTGCGTAAATCTTAACTAAAGCCTTCACAAGGGAGATTCTCACGTCCCGAACTTAGTTCTGTTACGAACTTGTATTAATAGTGGATTCGGCGCAAAAAAATCACCCCAGAGTGCAAACTATTTACATCCATCACAGTAACCTTTTCAGTGTTTAGTCTGATTCCTCCGAAACCCACAATCGGAGGGCGCGTTAAGCCATTAGGAAAACGGTCCAGCGAAAAGATGAAATATATGTATGTCGGCGCCTGCTTGCACTGGACACCGGGTGTTTGCTGTATGCACAGTTTACTTCCGCGTCCCAGTAAACAAACATGTACAAATACAATGATGAAAGTATGTAACTGAGTGAACACAGTTATTATGTCGCTTGTGCTGACCAGTAGAAAAGTGTCACCCGGAACAGCGATGCTGCCTTCTCTCAAGTCCGTATCGTCGATAACCTGTCATCCATTGTACGAATTAATCCAGTGTCGAGATCTACCGTTAGCTTATACCTTCAGCACTTTCGTTATCCGAAAGTGCATTTTATGAAGTGTACGGTGTTGGACTAAATTCTCATTGGTCACACAACAAAATTACAAGATGATCCATGTTCTTCACCATTACTCCACTTCTAGTTAGTGGAAATGAGTAGCTGTTGGTCAGTAAGTGTTAAGTCCAGCCAGAAATCAGACCAATAATTTCCAATTATGTACCAAGAAGTGAAAAATTCGTGCAATAGACCTATAAATCATTCCCACGAAGATGATTTATTCCGGCTAGTTCGATTCAGAACCCTCATAACGCGATTCGATACACTTTTGATGAATATGTGAAAAACGACCTGATTGGGGCTTTCCCATTAGGGTTTCAGAGTGCTCAAAAATTCCGTTTCAAGGTCGTAGACATTTTCACCTTTGCACATGTTATGTTGGTACACACAACGGGATCGGCTGGAACTAAGAAACAGAAGTATGGCATCTTCACTAGACGAGATAGGAGGGTGTCGACCGCTTTGGGAAACGGGAATCTCTCTAGTCTAGTCACGGCAACGACTGATAATTTTTGTTATCTCGAGATGGAAATGTGTGAATCCTAGTCTCGCTGACCTTTCAGTAATGCTGATTCGCCCATGTTGAAGGTTGAAAAAATCACATTAGCACTTCCCGATTGAAGCTGATTTCTCAGTACAGGTATAATGGGAAAATTAGAATTGCCATTGATTGCCACGATTAAACAGGAGGGTGTGTTATCCGAATAGAAGACATTGATTTCTATATCTTGTAGCATTAGGAACTACCTTCTGTTGGGTTCCACGAATCCTCAGGACTGGTCACCTTGTAGTCTTAATCTGCACGATCGGAGTCCCACGGATTATATGAACACAGAACGTGTGTTTAAAAAAAACAAAGCTGCTAGCCACCAAAGGACGGCGAAGAAGAGAGGGTCAAAATATTATCCACACTTGCCAAAAGCGAACTACAGGGATTAGGGGGCGGAACAGCCAAACCAAAAACGTCGCTCAACAAAACAACATCCTGGGACTGGTCTATGAATTTGCACACCTAAGAACATGATAAACGAGATTCAGTCGGCTTCCTGGTGAGCCTCCCATCAAAACCGAATTGGTACGCAGATAAGTATATGACTCGAATCGTCGTGGGTCATATGTAAGCTGTACAGCCTTAGAATTCGCCAATGTAAGCGGCGTCCACCAATATTTTCGCCTCACGATCCATGGTGAATAGTCTGAGGATAGAAATACAGGCTTTTGCAGAGGAAGCTGTAGCATTGTGTTGCTCTACAGATAAGTTTCTACTTGAATATGATAAACACACGAGATCTTCCGTCTTCCTTTGCAGCACGCCCTCAAAACCGAATCCTGTGCCTGGTTTCGTACAGTATGGACATATTTTTTACTGCGACGACCATCATCCATTTGTGCAGCATTTCTCTCGACCGGTACCTTGCACTACGCAGGCCGTTTGGACGAAATCGAGCAGTGCCAAAGATATTTCAAAGCTTGGTTTTCCGGATATTCATGTCCTGGTTTGTGCCGTTCTCAATAGCCGGTCCCCTATTTGTCTTTGCATTGAAATGGGAACGCGGCGACGAGGAGTTTATTGTCACAATGACACCAGAATCGGCGAATATAACCACCAGTAAGTCCTACAAAGGATGTGGACCAAACGACAAGAGTTTTGTACTCACAGCCATTGGAGTAACCTTTGTGCTACCGCTCATTATCATGACAGCAACCTATGTGCTCACTGTGAAAATGCTCCGGCGTCATATGGCACAAGTAAAGGCGATCCAACTGTATGCGACCAGACCACGTCCGGTATCGACTAGCTCGGTATTATGGTTGAGAAGGGACAACTCATTCAGGCCGACTGAGATAAACCGATCAACCAAAGCGTGGTTTCGACAAGCCGATCAACAATCCACTATTCCGAAAACCACGAAATACATGCCAGCCTCAGATTCTGGATGTGATGAGAAGACGGTGAAAACGTGCAGCTTATCAGACCCCTTGTCCTATCATAATAGACCGGCCGAAAATCCACCCAGACGTATTCCGATAGGTGTCGAAAACCCATCTACGCAGGATGAAGCTTCACTTAGTGGGAATCGAGTGTGCGGTAAAGATCCATCAGACAAGTCAAATGACCAACAGAGTTATGTAAAAGCATCGGAAACGCTATTTCTCACATCTACCGCAAAAAATGACCATGACATAAGTGGCTTAGAACTGTCTTCTAACCACGAGCTAGGACTACCCTCACAAGGACGTAGAACAGATATTTCATCGGCACAAACAACTACAGCCATCGACCGTATTCATAGCGGCAAACGTGCAGTCCGAGTTATAGCTGTACTGTTCGGATTGTTTGTGACATGCTACACACCATTTTTCATTGTTTATACCATCAGTGTTGTGTGTCCTCAGTGCCGAAGTTGGGCTGAGCCTGCCATACCACACCTCGAGTGGCTCGGATATCTCAACTCTATGCTTAACCCGGTGGTCTACCATTCTTTCAACTCCACATTTCGTCGAACGTTTCGTCGCATATTCCAGTGCGCCTGTAGGACACCACATGAGCACCATGCAATCTGGAGAAGCCGCGTCAGAGTGTAGTATCATGAAGGTCCCATCCCTACGCCTACCTCCCCGGACAGCCTGATGCTGAGCGGAGGATGGTAAAGAGTTATTATTATGCTACTCTGTTATTTTAGTGATATCTGATTTGTCCATAATGCAAGCAAAACAAACTCATGCTAATCGAAACTTGCTTTCTTCATCTGTCAACGAAGCCTGTGATCTCATGAGAAGCTCTTGAATCATGCAGGCCAGGGGCTAGTGAAACGGTCGTTACTAGTCTGAATTGAATCAGGAACGTAGCTAACATCCTAAAACTCACAAACTGGAGGATTATGCAACCGATGGAGAGCAGCGCAGTAAAACGATCCCAAATGCAGAAGTAAAAGTGTAGTATATTTTATCCACGAACCGTTTAACAATTTACTGCAATGTAGCTTTTCGTAAAGGTATGCAGTAACTTTCGAAGAAAAGAAAGACAGTACGTAAAGCAAAAAAATCCCTGGAATGTAAAAAAAAGACACTGAATATGCTACTATGGCCACCTCATCGGAACCAATCACCGGATACAAACGACAGTAGTTGCAAATTTGGTAACAACCTAAGGATTGTTTATTCATGAGGTTTCATCCAAAGAGGCCCTTACTAATGCTCACCAGCACTGTGCGTGATAGAGGCGCGATCACGAAGCATCAAACTATACCGTCAGAAATCCAAATGATCGATCTGTCAAGCTATCACGATGTAATGGACAACAAGATAGTTAGCAATAGGAAAAGGGAAAATTTACCATTCCTATAAGAGTAGAGACGGTCAACTGTGAGCACAATGTATTCTAGCAATAAGCGGGTGGAATTGCGCAAGAAGTATTGTGATTTTTGCGCTCTTTAATTAAACACAGAGTTGTTAGTGGATTTAGCACCGGGTTGGAGTTAATCAGTATCGATCGAAGTTTGTAAACCGAAAGTTTACGAGCTTTTGATTTATTTTCATACAGTTGGTGGCGGGAACTACGTGTAAGCAACAGCAGAGGAAAATTGCGGTACGTCTGACAAAACCAAGTGCTCTTTACATGTTGTTGCATTCAGCTATAGAACCACTAGACGACAGACATAGGTTAATACAAGACCTTGGCCATAAAATCCACACAGGGTGCACAATGTGGACTGCGTTTATGTCCGAATAGCCACCGCCCCATTAGTAATTGTTTGCGCCATTCACAACCATTTCAGTGCAAAGAAAAGACTCTACACATCCAAGGAAGGCAGTGCTGCAAACTACCAACTGGCCGGAATGCCACAAAATAAAAAAGAACTGAAAGGCCAGGCTATGCTACCCGCATGCTGTTCGCGAGCGTAAACTTCCTCCGAAAACATCCCAGATTATAGAACAGGCATAGTGACTGGTACTTACAGTAAACTCAGTGAACAGATATAATAGTTCTATTATTTGTCGTGGCGATCTTGACTCTTTCTCTAAATTTTATAAGAGTATCAAAGCCAACTTTTATTTCAAGTTTGTCTTTCAATGGCTTGTCTTTTCACCCTAGACTTATTAACGTCCCCTAAAAGGGAGGGGATATCTTGGACTACAGGAATTCCGTTAGAGCAATTAATTTGTAAATATAGTGACAGTGCGAAAATTTCTGCAATAATTTAGCAACCAGATCGATGGGGTTTCGAATTTCCAAAGCAACTCTGCTAGAATATTCGAGTATTTCAGTGAAGGCCGTCTGTGACCTCGTTGTGCCAGACAATGTATGCCTGGAGGCCTATAAAAACATGTCCACATTATGCTTCGAACGATCGCTTCAACTCGGATTACTGTGCACTTTCTGGTTGTGACGACCAAATTGACCTTGACAGATGAAATCATATCGCGCGGAAACGATGGAAAGCAGCAACTGCATCAGCGAGCTCGAATACTGTCTCTCGACCATCTATGAAAGTGCTCGAAGTGCTGCCGAAATGAGCCAATTGCCATGAGTGCAACTGCTATGTAACTTCCAGAGATGGTAATACGACTGTCACGCGTATTTCAGTGGACGAGTGCTTGTGAGAGGCACAACAGCTTGCGAATGCAGAGTATGAGATGATACATATTTAGCGACAGTATCCAAGCTCCATCGTCTCAATTCGACAACACAGCTAACCAGAGTAGGTATCACAGAGCCGCTTATATCACCAATGAGCGGCCCACAAAGAAATGAACTTAAGAGGGTAAGTTCGGACGGGTGGTGTGATGACAAAGCGCATAGCAAACCGGTCCGGAAAAATCAACTGAAGCGTAAGATAAACATGCTCTGATACGATTCAAGCCTGGTACAAGTTGTCTAGTGTGACACGGTCACGGACGGTCTTCTTTGGAGTTCAGGCGGAGAGCCAAGTACATTTTCATGCCTCTGAAGAATCATTCAATCAACTTTCATGCACAAACCGATGGCGAACGGCCTACGTACATGTTGGGCACTGTAACCAAAGCGTGACAACAGCACTATGACCAAGCTAGAGTTTGTTAACGCCATGGCAACAACCAAAAGCGTTGGCGGTCGGACAACACGAGCCTTAGTTAACAGATCCAACAAAAACGATAGCGATGGTAGCTTTGCCTGCCACATGTTTTGACGGACCTTATGGACCTTATGGACCTTATGGTCCCCTGAGGTCCAGCTACCATCATGAGAAAGGCTGTCCACTCCCAGATGGGGCAACTGGAGGGTTACATATTGGGATATTCTCCAGGAAATACTTGGCTATCGAGATAGATTCAAACGGCCTAAGAAGGGGCGTTTCCAAAGAGGGGCCCTCGCATTTTCTCTAGGAAGATGGCGGTTCAACACCCTCCCAAAGGGACTTTCGTGGGAAATCCACCAATGAATTACACCGCGATTCTTCATTCCATATCCCCATTTAGATGCCTTCAAATCATTCTAAGTGGCAACGTGTTCATATTCTGGGTTAAAAAAGAAGGATTGGTCGACGCCATGGCGATATAGTGTAGTCGTAATTATCTTGACATACAGTGTTGATCTGTACGCCCCGGGTCAACCACAAAGGGCAGCGCCTTCGTGGTGTTTCCTCTTGAGTAACTCAGCAATTTCGGGAATGAAAATGTCATTCATGCGTGGCTCGGTAAAGCTGATCTGTTGAAGGAACAGCATACTGAAAAACAATTCACGACCGTAATTTGTCTCCTCGAAGTGATGAGGACTACGGTAGCCTGAATAAATGCCGCTAAGCCAGACCCGCAGAGCCTATTAACTTTTTGTTTGCCTACTTATTTTCCAAAGAGTAACATGCTCCAAGCCGCGTTTACCATCAGCCCACAAGAACCTCTCCTCCACCGCATCCATAAGGACATGACAATTAGGGATGAAAAAGCACTCATGCAAAGAAAAGTGACACTTCTGGAAGCAGTTACTTACAGTTCCTCACGCAAATCTATAACTCTTGGGAAATACAGCATACAGGCTGTAGAAATGCAAGCTATAAGCGAAGACCTGAACGGCCTAACAATACGAAAAACCACATACACATGTGACTCGACTTAGCTAGTTGATGTGTGAAATAGACTTGTTATCTATTCAGCGGGGAGTTCTGTGCATAGCAGCTCAGAGAAGAGGAAATGCCGGAGCCACATCACCTGGTAAGGCAGTAAATGCAAAACGTGGGTTTATGACATGTTACTTAAGGGCGGGAAAGTAGGCAAAAACAAAAAGCCATCAGGTAGAGGGGTCGACCAAGCCTGTCGCGGTACTCGGTGAAATTACTGGGGGTGAATAATATGGAATGGAAAGGTGAAAGTTGAACTGTGTAAAAGATCCAACTACCGCATGTGCTGGTACTCAGGATGAGATAGAGCTACCTCTCTCTGGGTCTGCCGGCCTCACCTAGTTCTGTCAAATATTTCTGGTGACAGTGTCGTATCGAAGGCCGGCGTTACAGACATTTTAGCTATTTCACTAGCCCCTGAGTGTGATGTTGGAAGGAAGGGACCCTGGTATTGCATTAGTCCCATCGCTCCTAGGACGATGCATTGCATTCGGCTCCCTAGCAAGCAAACAGAATGAGCTGTGAATCTTCATTTGGCAACAAAGGGGACGTTAGTCAGGACGCCAGCATTGTCAGTCGTAAGGCTCAGTAAAAACCCTAAAGGACCCTCCATCATTTAAATTACGCGGCAACTGCAATCTCGGTCACCGGTGCCGAAAGAGTGCAGACGTCCAGTCCTGCTCCAATATCACACGGGTCAAGTTACCCAAACCCTTGCTGATTCGGCCCTGGTTTATCATGCGCAGAAAGCCTACGGACAATTATAAATCACACCCTTGCTCCAATCCGTTCTCAGAGTTAGCATCTGTTATCATGTCGTCACTTCTAACACATACGCCATTAACTCTCCCCAACGCATCACTTCTACTTTCAACAAGGGAAGAGAAGTGTTTGTCTGGTTTGAGGAGAATGCGCCTTGTTCTTGAAGTGAATCCATGATAGTCCCGAGCTTTCTGCAAGTCTAACGGAACAATCGATCTATCCAACGAGCAACCACTCCTATATCTCTTGCCCTGATTGGATTATGTAGTCTGGAGGTTCTGTGAGTACCCTAAACAGCGCGCACGAGTTAGCCTCTAAGCTGAACGCGAATGTCCCAAATATTCACCCTGCATCAAACTTTCAGATATCTCCATGTCCGCCAATAGTCAACCACTGTGTTCATCCTAAACATGTGTGAATCCTTTGACGTTAATGGCCGAGGGAGAATGCGGGAAGGCGCATTGAGATCTAGTGAGTAACAAGGTAACCACCCCCCCCACCCAAACCTTACATCCTGACGTGTCCCCGACAACCAGGGTGTCCGGTGGACTGTCACAACTTCTGTTTTTCAAACGGAGTGCAGATGTGCCCGATGTTCCATTTCCTTCTCAGCTTTGCTACTGAAGATAATGGTCGAGGGCTGCAACGCTGGAGTACAAATTATCCCAGGTCGCGGAACGTTAGTTATTTAGTACGTCAATGATATCACTCTGATGCCTAAAAGTGCAGTGTCCATACAGGAAATGTGAACCATTTGGCAACCGGATGAAGCGATATGGGTGAAGAAGAGTGCGAAGAGTGCTTCAGATCAGTGTGTTTCAGTGTTTCAAATTAAATATA